CTTCCACTACCATAGAAAGCTCTTGCCAAGTCATCTTTACATATATATCACAATGTTTCACATACACCAAGTACCCAATACGTGTTTCTTGAAAAAAAAAAAAAACTGAGTGAACTGTGAACAGTTTAGCTGCATGAAGTTAATGCCATGGTAGAGCTGACAAAAACAATATGCTAAGAAACTAGGGCTATAATTTTTTAATTTTTTTTAATAGGGTGCTGAGGATTGAACCCAATGCATCACACATGCTAGGCAAGTACTCTGCCACTGAGCCACAGCCCCAGGTAGGGTCATAATTTTTTACATTTATAATTAGAGACAAGGCTATTTTATACAAATTGTTCTTCAGGCAAAAAAAGCTACATTCTAGCTTTGGGAATAAATGGAAGACTAGTGAGAAATAATAAGTTACTGGGGCTTTATGCAGGACTATTTGATGTTAACATCATAAAAAGCACTGGTAATTGTAAGATTGGCCTGTATCATCAAGGACCCTAAACAACGGGACAGCAGAATTTGATTTGGCCTCTGATAGTCCATGTCTTGAAAGAGTCAGAATTGATTAGTGGCTAAGTGGTTATTGCATTATATTTTGTTATTCTATTTTCTAGAGAGAAATTCTGTGATATTAAAGAATGACATTATTCCAGGGCCTGAGGACAGAAAAAAGGTGACTATTTTCTCTGGCATATACGTGTCTTGACGTGTTTTTATGTAATGCTATCACTCATACTAATAACTGACAAAATAATATGATTACATTAATTCAGTGTCTAGGGCAAATAAATATCCCTCTTCATGATCACTGATTGAAATGCAGAATTTCATTAAAATTGTGAAGTGCCACAAATCACCCCAACACATTAACAATGCCAACTGATTGTGGGGTATACCAGGTGTCGGGCTAGGGAATCACTCACCAGGAACTTCAGCAATGGAAGTGATTATAATTCAGTATTTTAATAGTGTCTGATAGACAGAAGATGACATGAGGCTTTCTGGGTGGGGGAACTGCAATTGGGGTTTACATATGTGTTATTCCCCACATTCATCACTTATGCAATGAAAGAAAGTTCAGTGGTGAAATGGTTAGATTATGAGAGGTGTAACCTAATTGGTGGATTAATCCAATGACATGGATTAACTGGGCAGTGACTCTATGCAGATCTGGTGTGACTGGATGGAATACGTCATTGGGGGTATGCCTTTTGGGTTTATATTTTGTCCTTGGTGAGCACAGCTCTCCCTTTCCTTCTTGGCTGCCATGTCCTGAGCTGCTTTCTTCCTCCATGCCCTTCCACCATGATGTTCTACCTCACTTTGAGCTATAGAGTCAGTTGACCATGGACTGAATCTCTAAAACTGTAAGCCAAAATAAACCTTTACTCTTCAAGTTGTTCTTGTCAGTTATTTTGCTCACAGTGACTCAAAAGATGACTGAAACAGTGACTATATGTCAAGCTACATGTCAAAGCCCTGTGTGGCTTTGGAACTCTATGTCACCCACTGTTTCATCACTGTCCTCCTGGATTTGAAACAACAAAAGCTGCAGCAAAAAACTTTTGAAGTCATATGAAGCTCTAGTTTAACACCCTAAAAACTATTCAATATTAAAGCCCCCCAAAATGCTTGTATGATAGAACAAGAACATCATAGAGACAACTAACATCTCTCTGTGTTAAGGGAGAAGAAAGCCTCAATAGCCACATGAATTTAGGTTTCCAAATATAACTCTAAGAGGGCAGAATGTAAAGACCTATAAAGTGTAAAACCAAGGAACTTGAGTAGAACCTCTAATACTTTTCTCATTTTTAGAGGCTGAATGACATATGCCAGTGACTACTCAATGTGTCAATGATGTCATGTTGGGGTGCAGGGCAGAGGGTGAAGATTAGTGTTACAGAAAAATAAATTGGTGATTCTCCATCTGCTTGGTGAATTGTTGATGGGTAAACATAGATGTACATTTATGATAAGAAAAGAAGTTTCACATATGTTCCTGTAAGTTACTCAGATATGTGAATAATTAATATCTAGAAAGAGCACTAATAAAAATTTGGCATATGGCCTAGAATATAAAAATGAAATACTATGTGCAATGGTTAAAGGTAAAATAGTTACATACCAATTGATGTGGCAGGAAGTTTTATGACTTTAAGGACATTTCTCAATCTGAACTAACAGAAAATCAAAGTCATGACCCTTAAAGCATCATCACTTTTTCCCCATCATCTACATTTTACCATCCACATGGTAAAGGAAATTACTGTCCACTGGAAAAAACTTAATAAAGGTTCATATGATAGTTAACTAATTTGCTTCATCAAAACGTGTAAAGATACATGATATGTTCTTTATCTAAGTAAAAAAAAACAAATAGAGGCTTATAACAGTTTATGAGAGGGTATGATTCAGAAAAGAAACAGTATGATACTAAGCAGAACTGTGCACTATGTTCCTTTATACTGATTTTGTTGACAGAATATCTTTAGGGGGTGGGATTATAGCTCCATGAGATGAAGCCCAGGCTGATCTGAATACCAAAGAGTGACAGAGGCCACAACCTGCATAATGCAGAGATGGCAACAGAAACTGTAGTTCCTCGCTTGCTCCACAAGATAGCAATATTCCACCACTGCTGTTTGCTACAGAGGCTGCAATCTAAGTAGAACAAATGTATTATTTAGTCTACAATCATTTTTAATTTTACTACTGACAGTCTGACAGGACTACTTAATATTGCTGGGTTGACCTTTGCATGATTTTGTGCTAAATCCTTTTTTTTTTTTTTTAAGCTATTCTTAATCTGCTGTGTGGAGAGGAGAATGCAGTTGACTCTATATTACATGTTGCTGTAATACTATCAGCAGTCAGCACTGGTCAAACAGGTGGGTAGAGTAGGACTGCAGGCACCAACTGGTGCACACATGGTATCACAGGCTCAGATTTAAGAAGCACTTTCCTTGTGGGGACAGATCAGGGAGAATATTTAGCCCTTTATCACCCTAATGGTTGTTGAAAAGGACCTTCCACAGCATGACCAACAATAACACATGGGACGCAATATTAATTTCTTTGGGTTTAATCCTACTCTGCAACCTAGGGTAACAGAAGACTACCTTTCTGGGAAAATGGACTTTAAAGACTGAATAGGCTGTAAGGTGAAAACAAAACCTTTTCTCCCATACACTTGAAAATGAAATTATTTGTAACTTAACAGATGCATGTATCAGAGGCGGGGCTGGAAGAATGACAGCCAGCACTATAAGTAGTTCCAGTGATCTTACAATCCACGCATAGCCACCACTTCCCAAATACTCGTTTTGTACCAGACTCTGTGATAACTGCTTCCTAGGAATTTCCCCCATCTAAATCTCTTAATGATCTGAAGGTTACACCACCATTAGCCCCATTTGCCAGATGAGATATTTGAGATGTAAAAAGGTTATGTGGTGGTCACAACACAGCTGGAAAGTGGACCCACATCAAAATGAAGACCACTTAGTCTGACTTCAGTGGTCATGTTGCTAATCATAGTACTTTACTGCCCCTCAATATCTTCTGAAGTAGGTAAAGTGTCTCCTCAAATCATTCACCCCATCCAGTTTGTAAGAGCCATCTGTGGCTTTTGAAGGTCTAATCTCTGAGAAAAATCTAAGAAAGAGAATGCAAAACAGGTTTTGCTTGGTATTCCCTTGCTCCTCAGGAACCTGCAGGCAAACCACAAAGACTATATAGTTCACTTTATGGTTTTTGACTATGGAGATTGGGCTGTAGGTCTCGGGTTTAAGATTTTTTCAAAATACTGAGGAGTTTATGCATGACTTGAAAATCTTGGCCTTTTTATTAGTGCAAATTCCAGTAAAGACCCTGCCCAAGATTTTTTGACAGACAACACTTATGATTTAATTTAACACTTAAGGTATTTCTTGCTCCCTTCTCCTGAACAGATTTGAGAAAGATTGAGGGGAAAACAGGCTTCATTATTCTCTTCCTAGCTCATTCATCTCCTCCTCATAACCTGCTTCACTTCATTGACAAAGACAATAAAACTTAGATGTGCTGAAAGGGAACATGCAAAATCTATAATCCCAGGGCTGGGAGACTAAGCCAGCCAATGATTGGTTCCCCTCTGAACCATAAAAATAAAAAAAAAATAAAAACAAAAAAAGATCCTGCATTTCCCATCCCATCATCTAAAGACCCATCCCATAAATCCAAGGTTGGTGCCAACTGTCTAGGAACTAAATCCACTAGGACATGGAACAGGGCATCTCTTGGCAGAGCAACTGTGCTCAGCATGTTTGTTCAAAGGGTTAAATCTTCGTGGTTGCAATTAAATTGTTTTCAGTAACTAGGAGAACACAAAGGCCCAGCTGTCAAGGTCTGGGGAGATTGCCTTAGTTCCATTAAAGCCTGTGACCAGGACAGGATTCCCCTTCCATTAGCAAATTAAAAGAATTAAAAGGAGCCATTACAAGCCAAGCACATGTGGATGGGGTGCACATATTACCACACCGTAAAGGTCTCAAATTCCATGTATATTCAGAAGAACCTAGTTGGGATAGATAATAATATATTCAACACATGACCTTTCTAAGGTGGGCATAGGTGATCATTTGGCCTGCTACACAGAAGAGTTGGCCATAGCCTCATTTCCACATGGACTAACACTATTCTGAATCCTGAGATGGAATAAAAGCAGGTACACTGAGTCCAAGATCTATAACCTAAGAATATACCCTTACATACTCCAAGAAGCAAGTAGAAATTTAAACTCTGGTTTTGAGGGAGGGGGTTTGTTTGTTTTTAGAGAAAGAAAGCAATCCAAATAAGTCTTAGATATATTATTCAATTTAATTTTGTTGTTAGAAAAATGAGGTGATATACCATGTGGATGAGTAACCAAGGGATCTATGTCCAACATAGTTCATTGCTATAACACACATGGTCAAGAGGCTCACCCAGGTAAAGGAAATTGTTAAGCTCTATATACGTACAATTTTCAGATGAGATAAAAGTCTCATGACATCCGCCATGTCCGCCAGGATGAGTAAGCGTGTTACAGCTGATAGCAAAGCCCTTGCCGCCCTCACCATTGTGCCGCGCTTCACCGATGAACATGGGTCATCAGCAAACTCAGAGGAGGCGATCCGCATTGTCTCACCTGGAAGACAAACATGAAAAGGAGAGTGGGTATATAAGAGGTCTCAAGGCTGGTAATCTTAAAGGTTGTGGACAGACTATTATTGTTCTTACTACAAAACTCTGATGACCAGGTGGTCTTCCTGCTACCTCCAACACAACAGAGACCCTTTTATGACAAGCCCATTGGTACACATGGATAGCTACTATCAACAACAACAAAAAAGGTGTTTATTTCATACTGAAATGTAAAACTTTTAGAATCAGATATTTAATTCAATTTCTCTAATAGCAGAGATGAAATTGCCCTGAGCTTACCCATCCACTCTCTCAATTTCCCTTGAAACCATTGGCAATTTTTAGGCAAACTAGTTGAGGTTACCAACATCTGAGGGACAAAGCCAACTGCTCCATAGAGAACTTAAAATATTGCCCTCCTTAAGACTGTAGTCTTAGTTGAGCTAATAAGTCAAGAACAGAGTACATAGAAATACAAGATCCAGAATTCTAACCATCTTCTGGGAACTTATCCTTTAATATATAGAACATTTGGAGAGAACTGAACCATCTCAACAAGTGTCATATTTTGCTCTCTGCTCTGGAATTGAAAGATGGCTAGGAGCATCCAGTCTCCAAGAGTTCACAGTCTCATGAGAAAACAGATTTGCATACACATAATCAGAATACCATTATTGTGTGTCATAGCAGACATAATTCAGAATGTAGACAATAGGGAGGAATGAGTGAATGACTTATTCAATATGAGAATGGGAGGAGGAAGCTGTTGGATTTCATGATCTACAAAAACTGGTGTTGTGGCTCAGTGGTAGAGAACTTGCCTCACTTGTATGAGGCACTGGGTTCAATTCTCAGCACTGTATATAAATAAATGAATAAAATAAAGGTCCATCAACAACTATATATATATATATATTCATATATATGAAAAAAAACAAACAATCAAAGAGGTGTTCACCAGGAACATAAAGGTAAAAAGGGCATCCTAGGCAAATGAACAATGCACTAGACTTTGAAACTTGGGGCCCCAGACCGACTAGGGAACCATATCTCTGTGGAAGCGAATATAAGGAAGGCAATTGGGGGACGGGTGAGGTGGTAGAGCTGGAACACCACGTAAAAGGTTTGGAGTGTCTTCTGCTGAGAGGGGAGTGATGTTCATAGACTTTCATTTTTGGAAGATTATTTTAGTTACATTACATAAAATAACCTGGATAGAACATGACTAGCAAAAAAAAAAAAACAAAAAACAAAAAAACAGTTAACAGGGCAAAAGCAGCTATAGTATGAGACCGCATCGATGAAGGTCTGGACCAGAAAATAGAAACATGACACAAAAGGGAGGAAGGAGGTGTAAATGAGACCTTGGTGACATAAACAATGAATTTGGGGACCAATTCGATGTGGACCCAAAAGGTAAGGTGGAGTTAATGAGGAATAATGACAATACAGGAGTCAAATAGATAGTGGTACAAAGAAAACCCAGAAACGAAAAAGAAAAAGGACAATAAATTAACTAGGGATGAGACTGATACTATATCAGTGGGCAAATATCCACCAGGGGAAGAAGGACTGGAAGAAAATGTTTTGAAGCTTCATATACAAAATATACAAAGGGATATAAAAGTGTCAATAAACTTCAAGAACAGAGTTAATATGACACTATTTAATTTAGGGTAAAACAATATATTCAATATTTTAATTGAAATGTTATACCTCACTAAGCAAAAGTTAGCTTATTTAAATAAAGCTAATGATAGCATTGATAATCTGTGTATCCTATAATGTGTCCTCAGACACAAGGGGAAATTAAAAAAAATTACTTTACAGCCATGTTAGAACATAATGCAATTCTATTAGTATCACAGTTATTTAAACCCTTACAATGATTCTTTTTATACTTGAGGTATGTGGGAATATAAAAAAAATATTGTACTGTAGGATTTTCCCAATAGGCTATCATCTACAATGATCATATTGCTATCCAGCTTAGTCTTTATGCACAGGCAGAAATAAAAAGCTTGATACACAATAGCAGTTTCAGAGAAACTTTAATTCTTATACTGGCCCAAATGGTGAATTTTCAAGACATATGGCCCCAGTGATGTGCACAAAGCTTAAGGTGGAGACTGATCTTAAGGAGCTACATATTTAGTCCAGGTGTCCTACCTTTCCCATGGGTTTACATAAAGCTCCTCAGTGTAGCTTGAAAGAACATTACACACCAAGGCAAATCCAATGAGACACCAAGAGGATACCCACAGGTTAAGCGATACCAACATGTGTAAAGTATTAATGGGCAAGTCAGCTGCTATTGGAATAGAATAAATCTACTTATTTAAGAGGAGATGCACTGTGCACAGGAACCTAGGGAGCTACATGGTTGATCCCAAAGTCTATAGTAGACCACTCAAGTAGGCCTAGCTCCTCCTAGAATGGAGCTCTCCAATGGGAAAGACCAGCCCCATTCCCTCATGGCAAGTGAGGAACCATGCCCAGTTGAATTGATTTTCTAGTTCAGATTTACATACAGTGGATCATATAATGGCACTTCATACTGATGCTGACCATAACTAACATTTGGTTAGCAATACTGCATCAAAGTGAATAGCTGATAGGCTGTCAATACAGAGCTCTTAGGTGGAGCTAATCTGGAGCCCTTAGCAAGCACCCTTGCAAATAGTCCAGTAGATGTCCATGAGATAGAGAGAGTGCAAGAGAGAGCCACATTATAAAATGGGAGTCTGCAAATGTAAAACGCAGGTTAATGTCTGATATTATTCTAAGATAAATAAGAGGTAATTTCTTTCAGTTTAAATTAAAACTAAAAGCTCATTTCAAGCAGATACAAATGAATATCCTTAAAGATTCCAAAGGAAAGGCAATCTGAAACCAACTATAACTTTAATGTACCTTATATCCCTATAGTTTTAGAATTACTGAATTAAAACAGAAATCTATATTACCAAATGTTAAGCAAATATATCAGGGTGAAATGAACTATTTTTCCAGAGTATTGCTTTTTCTATAATACTGAACTATTTAGCTGAGTACTAGCATAACCCTGTAGGAGTAGGAATGGAGCAGTTAAGAAACGGTAACAGAGATCTGCCTCTGTGTGTCCTAATATTCAGTCTCAACGACTTGATTATAGACCTGACTCAGAGAATTGTCTGGAAGGTAAAGCCTGTGCTCTCCTCAAGCCACCAACACCTTCTGGAAAGAAAAACCAACACAACCAAATAAATGACCAAGGGGAAAAACAATAGTCAACATGTACTTACTTATTACAGGATTATTATATAAGTATTGCTCTAAACACTTGACATATTTTAACTCATGAATTAAAAATAAATAAATAAATTTAAGTCACAAAGACCTGGGTTCAGACCCTGACTCCATTCTATCTATTTTTAATAAGTGACCTTGGTGCCTTTCAACCTTTTTTTTTTTTTAGTCCCTCAACTCTAAAATGGGGGTCAAAATAATGGTCTCACAGACTGCTATTTGAGAGGAAATTAAAGATGGTGCATTCAAAGCACTAAACACAAGGCCTTCCCCATAATGGAGGCTTAGGTATTATTATCATTAATACCACTATAACCACTATCACCTTTATCTTCCCCAACACAATAAGGGTGGTTTACAGAGAATAGAGTCCGAGAAGCAGGCTAATCATGTAGGGAGCAAACCATGAACCAAAATGGCATCTATACCATTTGGTTCACCCATTAAAGAATTAGCCTGCAAGAGGGATAAGCACTCTTTAAATAGCTGACCATTGAATTACTGGAAAACTATGAGAAGGAACAAAGAGGGGATGGTGAATGTCTGGGTTCTAATAGGGTAAAGAAACAGGAAACTCAGAGTTGTTTGATAGTCCCAGATGCGGAGGAGGGTTTAACTTGTCTTTTCTTTGCGCTCTTTTAGCAATGGCGGGCAGAGGACTTGTCCTTTGGAATCAGATGATCAAATGAAAGAGAAGAAAGATGAAACCACAGACAAAATGTTGTGAAAAAGAAAGAATAAAAGCAGAGTACAACACAGAAAGCCAAGGAAAGGGAGAAATTCGAATGTAACTCCCACACCTTGTATGGTGGTACACATTGTCAGGATTATCATTATAAAATAAATATGTGTTTCTTATGAGGATTAAAAAACACAAACAATTAAAAATTAAAAGAGCACCCACAGTTCTTATAAGCAAGGACAACATCAAGGAACATTTGATGAGCTATCTTCAGCAGAGTTCTCTGGGCCTATATTTTTGACCAGCATTTTTTTTAAACATCTACACTGCATATATTCCTTGTCTAATTTTGTAAAGTCTCATTTGTCTAATAACATTTCTTCTTTGTTTAATTACATTACTCATCTAGCACGTACTGACGGCTTATGCACTTGATGTTTCTTTCCCTATTACAGAATTCTAAAAGAAAGTGAAAGGCCAAAGTTCCTTTCCTCTTGGCTATGTTTCTTCCCTTCTTTTGATAACCTTTGTCAGCCTCACAAGCTTTTCCACCTATATTTTTCTTTGAGCTACAAATCTTAAAAGATTCTGAAAAATGGAATCTTTACAGCAATGCAGAAACTGAAATGTGTTTTTGGAGAAGAAAACAAGATTAGTGAGTTATAATACCTAAGCATACATTTTTTTAAATATATTTTTTAATTTTTTATTTATTTTTATTCTAATTTGCTATATATGACAGCAGAATGCATCACAATTCATATTACACATATAGAACACAATTTTTCATATCTCTGGTTGTATATAAAGTATATTCACACCATTCATATCTTCATATACGAACTTAAGAGTAATGATATCCATTTCATTCCACCATCTTTTTTATCCCCATGCCCCGTCCCTAACTTTCCCAACCCTCTGCCCTATCTAGAATTTGTCTAATCTTCCCATGCTCCCCCTCCCAACACCACTATGAATCAGCCTCCTTGTATCACAGAAAACATAAGGCATTTGATTTTGGGGGGATTCGTTAA